AAAAAAAAAAAAAAAAAAAAAAAAACCTCCAGCAGCGAAATACATATGACGGTTGATTGCGATAGAATTATTCTTTTATTTAACCAGCTCTTGCCGGGCATCTTTTTATTGCCAGAGAGCTGTTGGGGCTGAAGGCATAAAGAGGATATAGTCCCTGCCCCCAGGGATAGCAAAAGCCTTGCACATAACCACTAACTCTCTTCTCAGTTCTATAGGATTTACAATGTGTAGTACAGTCATCAGAGACATGATCATATCGTACCTAGAGTGATGTCTTCTTATGTCCATATCCTATCTCCTGGGCCAGTTATGAAGTAACTGTCTTTCAGTTTGAACCCCACCCTTCTCTAGCCTGCAACTGGGTTCCTGCAGACTGCAGCTCTGCTCTGCCAGTGGGCCTCATGCTAGTTTGTGCCAACGTAGCTGCAAGGCAGAGGGGGGCTGTGAGGCCGAAAGAGGAAGAGACTTGCTTCTTCCTCTCTGCCTCCTGGTCGTGGGACTGTCATCCCAGCAACGCTTCTTCATTCCAGCAGTGACAGTTGCTTCCCAGAGCAGTAGCTGAATCCAGTTTGCAGTTTTCCGGACATTTAGAACCTGCTTTGTTGGGTCAGCCTCCAAGACATCGGCTGGCACAGGACTTCTCCGAGTCTGAGTCCCACACTCCTCTGAGCTCAGAGACGCCAACACCAGCAAGTAGCATCCATTCTTCAGAGGCCCAAGTTTCAGTTCCATGGGGCCTGTTCTCTCAATTTCTAAGCTTTAATAATGCAACTTCTTCCTGTTGTTTCCTCAGCCTGGGGGCAGTAGGTACTTCCTGCGGCAGCCACCTCCACGATACCTGAAGACTTCCCTTTTCATCTTTCACTTACCTGTGAACAGCTGCAAATAAGGGATCTGGTTTTTTGTCTCCTGATAAGAGTCTGATGGATAAACTGAGAGGCAGCCGAGAATAGGGGGAATGGAAGGAGTTTTGGAGTCACCTGGACTTGGATTTGAATTCTGGCTCTTATACACTTTGAACAGCTACCTAATTCCTTCCAGCCTTCTGATTCTCTGGTAACAAAGACGGGGTTTCCAGCTATCCTGAGGGTAGCTGAAGGGCTTGGCACAAAATGGTCTGCTCAGTGATAGCAGTCATTATGATTACCAGAGTGTTAGCTTCTAAGGCCAAAGCCAAGGTCTTGTACATCTTATCATTCCCAACAGGATGGATCATAAATCTGTTTATATGATATATGCTTGATAAAGAGATGCGGAATGAAAAAAGTACTTAAACTCTTTGTTACAGTGAACCTGCTTTGAAGGTTACAGTTCATGGATCTAACATGAAACCCTTTGCGGTGATCAGGTTTTGTCTTGAAGTTACGGTTTAAAACATCTTTTAAATTGTTATTTTAACATGAGGGGTCGTGAGTTGACCTGCATGACAGGAAAAGAAAATCAGTGTCATTCATTCTTCTATCGGCCTGACAAGTCTTCTTAGAGCCTGGATAATAAGATGTCGGAATGTACCATAACTTCCAGAAAGAAGCCAAATTTGTTCGGCGAGTGACACATTTGGGGCTCTTTCCAGCTACACAGCAGACATTAGTTTTGTTTTTTGTTTCACTGCACGCTTCATAAACAAAAAAGATTTTGACGACTCATACAATCAGTGATATCTGAGTGTTGAATTCAAGACTCTAATGTAAACCCTGAAAATGAACAACGTCCCAAAGGAGTGTCCGGTGCCTTCACAAGTCAGTGTGGATAAAAGTTGTTCCAACACAGAAGGGAGAACAAAGCATCTATTCTTTTCAGTACAACAGATAGATAGACACCCAATCTGGGTAATGGCTGTGTACGCTGGAGGGGTGGAAGTCAGCAGTGTTTTCTTGTTTCACATTTAGGGTTACGTGGGGCAGGGCCTGATAAAGTTATTTGCATCTAAGTCTGGAAGGTGTACAGCCCTGGCCAAGGCTTCCCCAGTCCCAAAGGCCTGAATGGGGATGTGGAAGAACTCAGTTCATTCCAGAATATTGCTCCCCCACAAAAGCCTAAAACTTCTATAAAGAGAAAAACAGCTGCACAAGATCCTAAATCATTCCTTTCTCAAACAAGCCATGAATCTCAGCTAACCAGGGGGGCAGGTTTGAGAGAAGCAGAGCTCGCTGCCATCTTGGATGTCTTTCCTAGCCTCGAAGTAGGTGTTGATTGGGACTTCCCTGGCGGTCCAGTGGTTAAGACTCCACGCTCCCAATGCAGGGGGCCTGGGTTTGATGCCTGGTCAGGGAACTAGATCCCTCATACTACAGCCAAGATCCCACATGTCACAGCTAAGACCTGGCGCAGCCAAATAAATTAATTAATTTAAAAAAAATAATAATAAATGTCACTATTAAAAAAAAGAAGAAGTAGCTGTTGATTTCTTTGTAGAAGAGTGTGACACCTAAACACAGGAAAAGAGACTGCAGTGTGCAAGAGGAACCAGAGAACTAATCATTCTGTTTCTGGAAGACTTTTCTTGTCTCCATACCTACTTATTTGGGGTCCCCAAGACCATGTCCTCCAGGAAGCCTTTTCTGAGCATGCTCCCTTCTCCTAGAGCAGGTGGGCATCACAACGAACACAGAATCCCTTCTGGACTGTGTGCAGGCACTGGCTGCTCTCCTATAGCAGCACGCACACACACACACACACACACACACACGCACACACTGCATGAAAAACAGAAAGAAAGAGGGAGGAAGGAAGAAAGGGAGGGAGGGAGGGGGAGAGAAAATATGAGAGAGAGAGAATCATTCAGAAACAAAAGCGCTCTCAGGCTGTGTGAGCACCAGCCTTTTGTAGAGATCATTGCTGCTACACGGACTGGTATTATCTCTTCTCCAGTTAATCATTGCCCAGGTTGCCAGTGGAGTGCCTGAACCATCTGCAGAGGGCACCTGGGGGAAAAAGTCTGGGTAACCTGAGAGGGGGGAAAGATTTACTGTGTCTTGGACACTCATTAAGCTGGAGTGTGCTGTCACCTCTGCTATGCTAATTCACTACAAGCTAGAGGTTCCCCTTGGCCTGGACACATGGCGGGTGGTGGTACACTAGGACCCCAGCTTTATAAACAGATAGAGACCGCAGCTTTCAGTGAGCCGGGGCCAGGGCAGAGATGGCAGTGAGGGGAAGGCCCAGATACCAGGCTAGATCGAAGCCAAATGTCCCATCAAGCTAGAGGGAACAGCTAGCTGATGAATATGCCTCAGGCAAGTTCAAGGACAGCTGGTTGAAGGCCAGGCAAAGCACAGAGGCCTGCGTGCCCTTTAAGTTGAGCCTGTGCGCCCTTTAAGTTGAGCCTGCGCATCCTCTGTGCTGGCCCAGCCCAGCCAGTCCTCAGCTGGCTCTTATCTCAGGACACCAAATCTGTGCTTCTCCGCCCAGCCATGCCCAGCCATTTCGTTACCTTGGGGTTTCTTTTTCTCCTAGGTTTCCTAGCCACACTTATTTTGAAAAACGTTAACTCTTTCTTTGCTGAATTAAGGTATAAAGGGTATGCCTACATCTTAGCTAGGAAAAATAAAGAGAAAAAGCACACATAGCCTAGGCATGAGTGACCGTACAATCCACTTTTTCCATTCTGTCAGAGGGTCATACAGGCTTAGGGGGCAACCAAACACTGTTCAGTCCCAACTCCTTTGTTAATAGCCTTGCACAAGTTAACCTCTCTGAGCCTTGATTTCCTCATCTCTAAAATGAGGATGATAATCATAACCACCTCACAGGACTGTGTGATAATAAAGATCAAGTAAGTTAACAGGATTGTGGCAGAGGCTTCTACATGTCCACCTATAATGTCTATTCCCTCCTTTTTTTCTAATGGAATTTTAGAAAAAAATCCAGGTAATGGATTTTTACCTGGACACATGGCCGTCTGAAATAAAGACTGCATCTCTGAGTGTCCCTGCAGTTAGTTGTCCCATTTGACTAAATTCTGGCCACTGAGTTACATATGGAGACACGGTGGTCAACTTCTAGGGAAGGTCCTTAAACTGAAAAACAAATGCCTTCTTATCCTCTTCCTTTTGTGCTGGTTAGAATGTGGAAGTGATGGCAGAGCTCAAGCAGCCCTCTTGGGTCAGGAGGCAGCACACTAACCATGGTGGAAGAACAAGAAGAAAGAAGCCTGGATTCCTGTAAAGTTGGAGGGAGCCATCATACAGCCAGCCCTTAAGTGCCTACCCTGGGATTCATTATGAAAGTGGAATGAACTAACTTTTGAAAACAATTTCATTTGGAGGGAGTCTTCAGTTACCATCGAACTAAAATCTAACTAGGGCTGTAGAGTGTGCACAGTGATTAGCATAGAGTAGGTAAGATCTTATTGTCGTCTATTTGCTTTTTAGGAAGTACATATCAAGGTTCTCAAAAACACACACATGAAGCAGATGGACCAAGAGGGCCAAAGAAGGAGTATTGGCTCACCCCTCCCTGGCCTTGGCACCACTTCCAAGGCCATGTGGGTGGGACAAGAAACACAGTTTTTGCCAGGCAGAGGCTATGGGTCACCAGCCAGGAGGGAGCACCCAACTTCCTGGCCTCACTTTATCCCCACTGCTAAGCCTCTCCCGCAAGCAGCACTATGATCTGGAGAAGGGGAAAAGGACAGAAAGAACCCCCATGAACCACACAAACTCTGGACATAAGTAGACCTGGGCTTGTGCCCTGGCTCCTCCATCCACTTGCTGTGTGACTTTGGGCTAGTTACGAGCCTCTCTGAGCCCCAGTCTTTTCGTATTAAAACGGAACATGGGATAATACCAACTCCTTGGTGTACTTGTAAAGCTTAAACAAAATGTCAGTCAAGGTCTGAACATAGTGCCTGACACATTATAGGTATCTGGTAAATGTTTAGAAATGAAGCCTGGACTTCATCTCTTACCATTCCCAACCATAGCCCCAGGCTTCATCCAGAGCCATTTACTAACTGTCCGCAGTACGGACTTTTACCAGCACTGTGCCTTTTGTTCACTTGGCCTCTACCTGCAGCTCCATCACTTCTTTCTGTCCCTCCCTATCTTCCACAAATTTTCCGGGCAGCTTTAAGTCCTTCTTGACTTCCAGCCCTGGATGATCTCTCTCCTTCTTCCCTGAACAGTGCCAGCATCTGATGTCCAGCCACTCGTTAACATTTACTGCTTTGTACTGGTGTTGAATTTTGAAGTGTGTGTCTCATCTTACCAGCCTTACTTTATGCTCTGCGTGGGTGTGTCTCATGCCCTTTCCACCTTATATCCCCTTAGCCCTTAACTCAATGAGTACTTGCCTCTGTGAATACTTGCTGAGCAAGGAAACCAAACCCAATTATCCAGAGCCCTGTAACTAATTTCTTTTTCGGTATCCTTTTTGAACCTACATGCCTATTGCGCATCTATGTTCCTCGGAGTTCAAAGCACATAGACGATGGTACCTTCCTGTGATGTCATCAGGGGCTCAGTTACCTTGGCACCTAAGCATCCAACTTAGGTCCAGCGGCACAGATTGCTTGGCTGACCTTGGTCAGTCGTGGGGAGTAGGGGGAAAATGTGAGAGAGGACTTCATTTAGGAGAAATTCATTACTCCAACCAAGTAAAACGATTTAAAAATATGTTTTATGGGTGATAAGTCAATACTATTTGGAGTTTGGGAGCACATCAAATTTGTCTTTTGAAAGAGGAATATTGCAATGTAAGCCATCACTATTGTTTTGAATACGAGAATGCATGTCTTTTTAAACAGATAGGTTGGACTTCTTCTCATGTACGTGTGCGTTATTTGCATGCTGCCTCCGATGCCTCAAGGAGATGAACTGAACAGCAAGAGCCCTGAGCTGGTAGCTCTAGAATGAGTGTCCTC